TTTTGCTAGTATTTGCAGCACATGATACGACGTCGTTTGTCGTTGCCATCCCAGCTGCTACGCGCTTCTCCTTCAAGGTACGTAACGTTAGAGAAAGCATACTTTTAATTACTTAATTATATTAGTAAACACGTGGAAATACTTTTGCTTCTTGGTTAACCGTGACATTTGAACCCTAGATTCCCTTAGATTTTTGTTCTGATGTCATGTTAAATCGTGTGACGATCTTATCTGATAATTACTTAATTATATTGTATGTTTCAGAATATGTCGATATCACGAACAAGAAAAGACCAGGTGAAATCCTGTCATTGGAAGACACCAAGAAGATGAAATATACATGGCAAGTTGTTCAGGAAAGCATGAGGTTGTTCCCTCCAATCTTTGGTTCATTCAGAAAAGCAACTGTTGACATTGAATATGAAGGATTTACAATTCCATAAGGGTGGAAGGTAAGAATTAAGGATCTTATTTAACTAACAATACACTAATATTATAAGATATTTTTATACTATAAGCATTTAGAAGGGGAGCCTTAGAGCAACGGTAAAGTTGTCTTCGTATGACCTATAGGTCAAGGCAGTGGCGGATCCACGATTTATAGGTCGTAGGTGGCTCAATTATTTTAGTGTAAATTCTAAATGGTCAAACATAATCATAGTAGGTGCTCATAGTCAATTATCAAATTTTTAGATATTATCTATGAATATATTGCACAATTTCGCCAAATCCTTCCAAAGGTAGATTCGCCACTGGATCACGAGTTCGAGCCATGGAATCAGCCACCGACGCTCGCATCAGGGTAGTCTGCCTACATCACACCCCTTGAAGGTGCGACCCTTCCCTGGACTCTATGTGAACGTTGGAAGCTTCGTATACCTGTTGCCCTTTTCTATAAGTGTTTAACTTGTTATAGCAAGTTACCTACCCGTGATTACTTTTTCAATAATGTATAAATATTTTTTAAACCGTCAGTGCACAAAACATTAAACAAAAGCATTCTTCATCCATTGATGTGATCTAAAATGGTCTTAATTTTTTCTATTTCTGTGTAGGTGCTGTGGACAACATATGGAATACATTATAGTCCAGAGTATTTTGAAGATCCTAAAAAATTTGATCCAAGTAGATTTGACAAGCCAATTCAACCATATGCATTTGTGCCATTTGGTGGAGGGCCAAGATTGTGTGCTGACTATCAAAATTTCTCCCAAGTCTTTATAAAAGCATAACTTTGTTACCTAATTGTACATCGGGATTCTAGTTCGTTTATGTTACTGGGTTATAAGTAAATAATGTATATATATTTATAAAATTCTTTAAGATAAATAGAGGGTTTGGACTAAAGTTACTGGGTTCAGCCGAATATGCAAAATCCTATGCTAGCTCCGCCCCTGGTTGAACCTACAGTGAAAAGGGAACTTATTAGTGCACACAGTGATCTGCCACGAAGACACTTTTTCGCAAGAGCTGAAGTAGCTGGTGCTTGAAAATTTATATATTTATATAGGTGAAATTCAATTTCAAGACCTATCTGCTCTGATACTAAATTAAATTTTGTATAGAACCTCATCTGGAATATTAGAAGGTCTTGTAATAATTATTTACTTTAATCTCATTTGAATAAGGAAAAAAACTTTGTCAAGAAAATTCATCATGAAAATGTCGAGAATCACTATTCATTCCTTTTATATTTTTTGACTCAATTACTTACTTACATTATTTTTTTTATCTAAAAGTACACTTATATCTTATTTTTCTTAGATAGAATAAACGAAAAAAGGAATGTTTGTATTGTGGTTTTTATAGGTGCAAGATTTTTTTTTTCGAGAAAAGATTTCCTCTTCCAATATCATGATTGAGTTAACCAAACCGACACACCTCCTTCTCTTTCGGATTTAAAGTGGGTCCGCCCCTTCCATCGGAAGCAAGGCCTATAACACCCTTGCAATATCATTTTTGAATATAATTCCTCGAATTAATTTAACTCATATGTTTTTACCAAATATGTGACAATACATTAATACATGGCAAAATCTGAATTTAATCTAAGATAGCGAGACATTTACAGAATTTCAATTTTTATCCATAGGTTGTAGTATGTAGATACGAGGGCAATAGATTTGGGGCTACATGTCCAAATCTATGTGAGTTTTGAGGGTTCTTGCTATACTTGTAAATATTTCCCCTGGTAATAAGAAATTTAATTACCAAAAAATATTAATGACTTCTTTGATACTATATTAAATTAATGTTGGATTTGCCCCTATACAATTTTTCCTGTTGTTTCTCAATGTTTCATTTTTATTTATTAACTTTAAGCATTCGCATAGTGATCATCTTCAACAACTCAAAATATGCATGCTGCAGGTAAATAAATATAACGATCTGACGAAGTCATTTTCTTGCTTTATTTCTTTTAATTTGCTTTTATCATTTGTTAAATGTAATTTTTACATTTATTTATTTTTTCTATTCTTTTACAAATCATAAATTGATTTTCCATAACTCTTTTCATATCCTCATCTAATAACATCAGACAAGAAACTTGAAATTCATATAATGTCTTAAGTAGAAATAAAAGGAAGTTAAATTAACAATTTGATACAAGCATATTATAGGAAAAAGACAAGAACAAAAGTCCGCTAGATTGTTCATTATTTTAAAAAGAAATGGAAAAATGACACTGTAAAAATAATAGCCGAAAAAATATATAAACTTTATATATTTTTTTTTTTGTATATATGCCTTATGTATGTTATATACAAAAATTATACCAATTTTATATACTTTTTCAACTACCAAATGTAAATAATTTATGGCGCGGGCTAAAAGTGATAATGTCCAAAGAAATCCTAACTTCTTCCAGGCTGTCAATTAACACCGGAACCCATAACCAGGTAAATACTTACCCACACCGGGTGTTTACACCAAACTATATTAACTCACTATGGTTAATTAATTTAGTTAGATGAGAATGCATATAATTTACCATGGTTAAATGATTGAAGTCCATATGCAAGACACATGTCATGTATCTATTGGTTTGATGTAAACACCCGATGCGGGCAAGTTTTTACCCTCCTTTTTTCTAGCTGCATTTAGAGGCGGACCTAAAACTAGTTTTGTATTTATAGTTTGAACTCGTTATTTTTTACTTGAATCTTGTATATATACGTAAACAGTTTAAATTTTATGAATATAACAATAATAACAACAATCCAGTAAAATCCCACTATTGAGGTCTGGGGAGGGTAGTGTGTACGCAAACCTTACCCCTACCCCGAAGGAGTAGAGAAGCTGTTTCCGAAAGACCCTCGGCTCAAGAGAATAAAAAGACAAAAGAAGACAACATTAGTTTCACTACAGAAATCATAGGAAAAATAGGAACATAAAATGCAGAAGAAAAATGCAAAGCAGAAACGATCGCTAGTAAATAGGTCATGCACCGAAAAAAGAAAATAGTAAGACATGACATTGTCACTAGCTATCTTAGATAAAAACCTTACCAAACTAGGCTCACAAAGGTACAAAGTAAGGCAAGACTCAATTACCTCCTAACCTACAACCGTAATAAAATCACACTCATTCTGAACTCATCAACATGAAATCTTGGACTCAGTTCTTGCCTCGCATACTCATCAGTTTACAATTATTGAATGGTAGATAAAAAAAAGTCAAAAGATGAGAAAGGTTGATTTACCAAAACAAGCTCTTGTTCATCCACAACAGTCACAGGTGGCTTTGACACAAAAAGAGAAAGAATTTAAAAGCTCAAAGTCCCAGGGGGACAGACAACAATTTTGCAGTCTCATTTACTACAGCAATTCAATGCAGTATTCCTTCACCTACCTGTCTGAGAAGGCATCAAGTCTCATAGGAGTATTAATTATGTCAGCCAAAACTGGTCTTACTCATACCATTCTTTTCCAAGTGTTTCCTTTGTGGAAATTCTCATATTTACTACTTAAACTCAAAATAAGAGTGTGTGTTAGTGGAGAAAACACATAAAATAGGAGTGCTATCAGCTCAGTTGAGCTTAAACAAGCAGATTCCAAGAAAAAGGACCTGGATTCAACTGTATCAGTGCAGTTTCTCTCTGTGTGTGTATATATATATATATATATATATATATATAACCTTCACTATCACAAGAATATAGCGATCAAAGAGCTATGACTCAGCTGCTTCATATATTACACCGTATTGCCTTATCGGAGCTGGCTCTTCCGGAAGAGTGTAGGTCAATGATTATTATAAAGGCGTATGTGAAGGACAATGATAGTAGTGGGGTTCCAGATGTCGTCGCTAGATTGAGATCTGTAGGGTGATAGGTACTTCAACTACATTGTAGAGAAGGGTATGGTAGGCTTAGTAGGGCTCGGACTTTCAATATCACCGTTATATTTGTAAGTGATACAATTTCAACTTTCTACCAATTAAACTTAAAGCCGGTATGATACTCTACCTGCAATCCTCTCACTATATTCACATATACAGTGAGATTTACATCAAGTAACAGCAGAGCATATGACTTGGACATATTTCAGTATTCCCACATAATAATACAGGCAATTGTAGAAAGAGATTCTCCTAACCAGAAAGTGTTTATATGGTCATATATTTTATAACTGGGACTATGGAAAGTATTTTGAATTTGTGACAATGACATACTTGGATATAAAGCACAGCCCGATGCACTAAGCTCCCGCTATGCGTGGGGTCCGTAAAAGGGCTAGACCTCAAGGGTCTATTGTATACGCAACTTTAGCCTTCATTTCTCAAAGAGGCTGTTTTCACGGCTTGAACCTGTGACCTCATGATCACATGACAAATGACATACTTGGATATGTTTAGAGTAATTAAGGACCTTTGTCCATATTCTGCAATATGAGATTTAAATGACACCTTAAATGCAACCTGCAACATATACAGCTAACCTCAAACTCTTTCACCTGCTTATATTAACTTCTGTCCTCATTACTCTTTATATATACAGCTCTTCTCTTGTATCACTAGACATAAGTTAAACTCTTTAACAAACCACCACCACCACCACCCCAATCCCACAACAACTCCCTCTTATTCATTCTCTTTTTTCTCCTTTAGTTTCCTTGAGAGCAAACCAAGATGGTGAAGGAGAAAAACATGCAAACTTCTCTAATCCTGTGGGCTGCAGTTGCCGCTTTGCTCTCACAGAATTTGCTCATTCCTGTCATGTCTACTGCAACGTTTGAAGAACAAAAAACCGATCACTCTCCGGACCCAAATATCAGAAGTCCAAGATGTCTCTCCTTACCTCTCTATGTCATGCTGTTTTTTGCTTCAGTCTTTTGTCACTGGCAATTTTCAAGATATTGCCATAAGCTGCTTTCTTTTAACTACTTTATAAGCTTAGTATTTGCATAGATATTGAACTAAAAGGGAAGCCCGGTGCATTAAGCTCCCGCTATGATGTGGGTCTGGGGAAGGGCCGGACCACAAGGTCTGTTGTACGCAACCTTACCCTGCATTTGTGCAAGAGACTGTTTCCACAGCTCGAACCCGTGACCTCCTTGGTCACATGGCAACAACTTTACCAGTTACGTAAAGGCTCCCCTTTGAAGGACAAATAAGAAATGTTTTCATTACTTCTAAATGTTTGCTGAGTCAAGATATCCAGGATAATAGGATGTTTTTCCAAATTTGGACTGGATTTTTGCTTGTAGACATGTTCATGCAAATCTCCTTCAATCTCACAATTTTATATATTTTATGACAGCTTCGCCAACATCTCCATCACATGGCTCAGGAGGCGGCTCAAGAACACCATCCTCTCAAGGAGGCAGTGGTCGAACACCGCCTGCTAATTGTGGTAATCCTCCAAGTAGAGGGGGGCGTCGTAGTCCCACTCCGCCTCCTCCTTCTGGAGGTCGTGGAGGTGGTTACTATCCATCCCCTCCAACTTCTGCTGGAACTCCTCCAAGTACTCCCTCCACACCTACCCCACCAACTACTCCTATCATTGGCCCAGGCACGCCAAGCACTCCTGGCGTCTCCGTACCACCACCTCCATTTGACCCAAATTCACCACCTTCTAGGGGTGGTTACTATCCCTCCCCTCCAACTTATGGTGGAACTCCTCCAAGTATTCCTACACCTAGCACCCCGTCCACACCAACCATTGTAACCCCACCAACTACTCCTATCATTGGCCCTGGCACTCCGAGCATTCCTGGGATATCCACACCTTCAGCTCCATTTGACCCCTATTCACCACCTTCGGGCGGCTACATCTATCCCTCCCCTCCAACTTTTGGGGGAAGCCCTCCAAGTTTTCCCACACCTAGTACCCCCGGTTTTCCCACAATTCTAACCCCACCAACTACTCCAATCATCGACCCAGGCATTCCAAGCACCCCTGGTATTTACATACCTCCACCTCTATTTGATCCCAACTCACCACCTTTCCCACTTGAGTAAGTGAATTGTGTCATCAGCTTTACATGCAGCCAATTGCAATATGCAGCATAGTCTAACATGAAATGTTATGAATTGCAGTTACTGGAGGACAAACCCGGCTCTAATATGGGGTTTGTTTGGCTGGTGGGCAACTGTTGGTAGTGCATTTGGTGTGGCTGGTGCTCCAGGGTTCGGGGGAAACTTGAACCTGCTGCAAGCACTTTCAAACCCTCGTGCCGATGGCGTTGGGGAACTCTACAGGGAAGGAACAGCTTCTTTGCTGAACTCCATGGGGAGCAAGAATTTCGCTTACAGTACCAAACAAGTTAGGGATAGTTTTGTTGCAGCACTCAGTTCAGACAAGGCTGCAGCAGCTCAGGCGCGGATATTCAAGTTAGCCAACGAGGGTCGACTCAAGCCCAAAACTTGAAACACTAATATATCCATAGTCACTGTGTATCTTGCTATGTCCAGTTTCATTGTGATTTCCTGTGAGTTTGCTTTAGGGTTGAATCTTAATGTCTCAAGAGGATGCCAACTTATAATCAGGTATATGTAAATTATTACTCTGATGTGCTATGCGTTAGATTGCCTTATGCAGATTTCACAAATATTTGAATGTCTTCTCGGTAAAGAAATCATATGTCCAAATAAACAATAACATAGTATTGTATTAGGTCAACATGCTGCTTCTCAGAATCTCCACAAGAACTCTGTGGTTTTGTCAAAATTAATAAACCGTAATTGACCAAAGTTGAAAAGAGAGACAGGCACACGTCGTACAACCTATATAAATTGAAAAGAACTTATCGAGGTTAGATGATCTTTCTTCAACAAAGTTTATCAACAACAACAACAACATATCCAGTATAATCCCACATAGTCGGATCTGAGGAGAGTAGTGTGTACGCAGATCTTACCCCTACCTTGTGGAGGTAGAAAGGTTGTTTCCAATAGACTCAACAACGTTTATCGATAGGAGAAAAATAATTAAGCAGTAGAATTGACCATATTGTGTCTATTGTATGCGGCTTCCGCTATGTAGGGAGTCCGGGGAAAGAATTGACCATATTTTATCTATCATATGCAGTTTTACCTTGTATTTCTGTAAGAGGCTGTTTCTGTAGCTTGAACCTGTAACCTCCGAAACTCTCCCTGGCACAAAAAAGGAGCAGACGAAAACAAATGTAATGTTTTCTCCCATTGTAGTGTTAGTTCATAAACCAAGCTCCAAAACAATTATCCATAATTGCCTGTGCATTATTTGTGTTCGGATGATAATCCAAGACTTTTACCTTTGCAAATAAGCTGTTAAAATTTAAAACTTGCAGTGGAACCACAAGTCAATGTAAGAAAACTCTGTGCGAAAAGGGTAACATAAGATACATTTCTCATTTCAGAGACATTTTCATTAAGATAATTACCCAAGCTCTGGGCAAGTCATTGGTTTGCATAACCTAATCAGTCACTTTTCCCAAAAATTTCATTCATGTTTAACTTGCACAAGTAGATGACAACAGTTTGATCCAAAAAAGTTCAAAAAATTACTTACTATATTCACAAGGTTATTCTGTCTGCTAAAACATCAAAAACTGAAACCACTAAACAACAACCTGTGGTTGGTGAGTTCATATCATATTTCAGTTCTAAACTTCATCATACCAGTTTGATTCTGGTTTTTAAGGCACACCGATGGCTTAAAGGTTAAAACAAACAAATAAATCAAGATCTAAATGTAATAAAGCAAACAAAAGATTCAGTAGTTTTCATGAGATGTTGAAAAGATTGCTCAAAGGAAAATTGTAATGAATAGTTTTGATCTATGTTGGTCGGACTCTCCAAAAATTTCTCCGCGTGCGTGTCGGATCCTCCAAAAGTAGTACATTTTTTAAGGATCCGACAAGGGTGCGGTATCATTTTGGAGAGTCCGTGCAACATAGGTTTTGATTATGAGTAGCAGGGTTGGCAAAAAGCAACCCCGCAGTATTAAAGAAGCAATGGTACAACATTAGACCTTTTGTTCACCACATTATAAGCTTTTAAAAAGTGTAGAACTATTCATATAACATATCTACAATTGAAAAATCAACCAACAATACAACTCCAGAACAATACATTCAGTAGCCAAACAGTATGATAGTCCAGAAAGTATTTTCCATCACAATGCAAGCACAGTAAGTGGAACGGAACCTGGTCAAAATATTATTAGCACCAAACGACATTATTCAGGTCCGCTGTCAGTAGTCCAAAGCAGAGTGAGTGAAATTCTCCCCGCGCTGTTAGAAGAAATTACGCAGGAAGAAGACCTGATTAGCTCAAATGAGTCTCAAACCAGTTGAAGATTTGCTCAGATTGCATGCTGGTCATTTCATGAAAAGCAAATGCAAGGTTCATTTCCTCTTCAATGTGCTTTGCTAAGGACTTATCCGGGAGAACAATCCCTCTCTCTTGGAGAGTCTTGTTCCAATGTATATCACGCCCATCATTTGTCATGAAACCATTCTTATCAACGAAACCTTTTTCCTGGAATAGATTAAACAACTTCGCCGAGGTAGCAACATCAATACCAGGGATTCTATCAGCAAACAGATTAGGCGACAAAGGAAACTCCAAGCATTTAACTTCTGCAACATCAATGCCTTTTCCCTTCAGGAGTATCGCGAATCGTTCTAGTTTCTGCATCCTACTCTTATCTTTTGGCATGTGCACAAAAAGGGTGGGCGGATAACTCTCTGGAATCTCCATTTGATCATACAATCCTTCGATAATCATGACCGTGATGCTACTAAATCTTAAATCAGTCGCGAGAATTGAAACAAAGTATCCTCCAGAGGAAGCACCCAAAGCTACAAGAGGCAAATGTTGAAGCTTTTGTTTAGCAATCCACCACTCAATAATATCTTTGACGACAAATCTTTCCTCTTTGAACGACCAGCACGCCTCAGCACTTGATACCGCGATAACTGCAAATTTCCTAGCTAAAGCATTAAGTGTAAGAAGCCTCTCTTCAGGTAGACCGACACAATTCGGGCACTTAGATGATCTATCCCAAAAGTTAGCTGCTTTACCATCACAACCATGTGCAAGAAAAAGAATTGCTTTAGGTGAGTCAGGGATTTGCCATATCATATCTGTGCCATTCCTGAACTCTACTATGGGGTCTAACTTAACCACAGAGCTAAAGTTATCCCAATTCTGGTTTAATATCTCAGATGATGAACCGGGTTTTTCTCCATTTTCTCGATACAAAACCAAGTATAAAACAGAAATGAAGAGAAAAAATGCAATCACAATAGGCAGTCGTTTATTTTGGACAATATTCGGTAGTTTCAATACCATCTTTCCTCGTTCGAGCATGCCTGGAAAACAATAGGATCATTATTCTCTCGCAATTACATTTGGAGATAACATAAAAATAGGCAAAAATCACAGTTCAGGTTAACATGATAAATATCTTGGAAATACAAACAATGTGGAGCATCCAAAAGCTTGCTCAAGAGGCGAGAATTGCCCAAAACCACCAATTTTCTTTCCCGCAATCGATGTGGGACTTCAACACATTCTCTGTGATGAAATTGAATAACTCCATTTTCCACATTTGTATTAAAACAAATAATTTAGCTCCAAAAACTCCATTGTTTAGAAAGATTTGGAAGAAAAACCCTCAAAGTTTCTTCTTCAAAAATTGAAAACCTTCAATAAAAAAGTAACTTTATCTTTTTTTTATTTTTTTAGATTCAGCTCAATTGCTCGAACAAACACTTCTGCTAAAAATAAAAATAAAAATTGAGAGTGCAAATTCAAAAGTCAAACGCTCCAAAAACATAATACAAGCAGTGTTAAGCCTCCATTTCTGCAGAAAATAACTAAGCAAAGTAACAAGAGATGAATAGACTTATGGACAGACTTTAGCATAAATATATTTATAAAAGAAAAAGAGAATCACAATATGAAGCTTAATTACCTGAAAACATTTTTATCTTCCGATGTCTGTAAAAAGGCTCTAGTTGATAGAGATCGAAGTCGTTGACTGGTTATAGCACAAGTTGCCTGAAAATATTGAGGTGGTGAAAGAGTGAAGATGGGGAACCATGTGCCATGGATTCAAACTAAAGTACCTGAATCTTACTCAAAATAGTAAGTACGGTCCAGGTCCAGTTTTCCCATTGATAATTGAAAAATAATCACCATTTGCAAAGTTACATCATAATATATTGGTAATTGGAGCACGTGTATATATGTATGAACTTACGGCATATTATGATGTAACTTCACTATATTATGTTGGAAGTTCACATTTAAAAATTCGAACTCCAATATATTATATTAGAATATTTTTGAATTTTGAGCAATATTTTCATTCAAATTTATTTTTATATAAAAAATAATTAAATTTTAATTATTTTTTATATTGTGACTATTTTTCAATTACTATTTATAAATCTGAATATACTTTAGCCTCAGCTCCACATTGGTGTTTGGACTTCTAGATTAAACCAACGTCCTTGTAATGACTTAATATGAATGAATATTTTCCTGCCTTTACCAACAAAAAAAAAGTACTACTGTACGATTTATTTAAAAAATTAAAAATTGGATCTTTTTATTCAGAAATTAGCTTATTCCGTGACTTGTATGGGTAATTGTTACCAGTCGTATTTCATTCGTATTGTTAGTGAAGGATTGAAAATATCCGCTTAACAATTTAGGCACAAGCAAAAAATTCAACAAAAGTTATATAATATTAATTCATTAAACTACCGAGAGAACTTGGTAGGAGACTTTTTCACCACTCATAAACTCTTAGAATCTATCTACATTATAACTACCTCTCCACCATAGAAAATATGTAGTAGCATCCCTATTTATAATACTACAAAATCAAAAATTTATTCCAATATAAAATTGGTAAACAAAACCTAACTAGACATGAATTAAATAAACTACCAAATATCAAATCCTAGACAACTTAGGAATACTAATTAATCTTGGTTTAATTTCCAAAAGCCTCCCTTAAACCAAGATCTTCATACTTGATATGGCTGTCCAACGGGACGGGACAAAATTAATGGAACGGAACGACATTTAAACGGGACGGTGGCGGGACGAGACGAAATGGGACGGGACAAACGGGACGAAACGGTCGTCCCATCCCGTCCCACTAACAAATGAGACGGGACGGGATGGGACGGGTTCGTAGGCCTTAAGTGTAGTTTTTTTTTTAAAACATCTAGTTTTTTTGAAAATGACTAAGTTTTTAAAGTTTGCAATGGCTAGTTTTTTGACTTATTTAACAAACTTAAATGTTAAAACGGAAATTAGGAAACTAAGTAAAGAATTATAAAATATTAAAACAAAAGACTTGTAATGAAATATTATAGTAATTATAAATTTATAATATAGTTATAATTTATTTAATATAATTTCAAAGTATTAAGTAATTAAGACAATTCATAAAAAAAACCAACGCTTAGAGCCTTTTATTTTATTAGTAGAACTTTCAAATCTCAAAACATGTTATATCATCCATATCTTCCTATAAAACTTCTGCCGTAGACTTAGAAGTAGAAGGAGCAGTTTCACAACCTGTTGTTTCCATAGATTTATATTTATCAAACATTGACCTAGCATAAGTGTTACGACCCAATCCCCGAACCCGGTCGTGATGGCGCCTCTCGTGAAGACAAGGCCAACCAGACCAAAATGAAACACCTTTTTTAAACAGTTAATCATCATAAACAGTAATAACATATAATATAATACTCATAAATTGCGAAATTTAACGGCAATAACCGCAAGAACCATCCCGACACAGCCCAAACCGGGGTGTCACAAGTCATGAGCTACTACAGAATCTGCTATAGGTCTACAAAGTACGAAATCCGATACAACAGTCTGAAGAAAACATAAATGATAGAGGATAAGAGAGACAAGGGGTTGCGGACGTCAACAGCTACCTCGTAACTCCAAATCACTGCCTAGCCTGAAAGGAATCAGCGCTCAGGTGCGGACTCTGCTATGCCTGAATCAGCACACACGGTGTAGGGATTAATATGAGTACTCCGACTCAGTGAGTAATAATTATAAATAATGGCTGAAAGTATGAAAACACGTAAAAGCACAAAGCAATTCCATATCTAGCAGTAAAAATCACTTAAAGCAGTAAATCAGTGAAGAGATCAAATGATATTCCTTTTAAAACAAGTAAAATCGGTAATTTAACAGGTAAATAACAAGTAGAAATCCACCCCTCGGGCATAGTATCAATCGCTCAGCATAGTATCAGCCCCTCGGGCTCACTCTCAGAATAGTATCAGCCCCTCGGGCATAGCATCAATCACTCACAACAATGGGTACCCGCGCTCACTGTGGGTGTGCAGACTCCGGAGGGGCCCCTTACGACCCAAGCGCTATATCAAGCCACCTCGTGGCATCATCACTCAACATATCCTCACATCACTCAAGCCACCGCGTGGCATATAAAGTATCTCAGGCCCTCGGCCTCACATCACTCAAGCCATTGCGTTGCATAAATGGTAACTCAGTCCCTCGGCCTCATATCACTCGGCATATCCTCACATATGGCCATCGGCCTCACTCAGTCCGGAAATCATCATAAACCCCTTGGGCATTAGTAAAATAGTAGTTCTCGGCCCAAAACATGATGTAGAAATATCATTTAAGTTTCAAATCTGAGTAAAAGTGGCTGAGCTTGTAAAACAGTAGATATCAACAGGACTGAGTTCAAATAATAAGTCAAGCAGTGAGGAGACAGTGATACAAATCCCCGAAGGGTTCAAATAGTTGACACGAAACCCAAATATGGCAACCAGCCCAAATCATGATGATATCAAATGAATTCCAGTCAAATATTTGATAAAATCATCAATCGGGATGGACCAAGTCACAATCCCCAATAGTGAAAGACCCCACGCTAATCATCTAGCGCGTATCTTGCCTCAATATAGCACTACGATGTGCAATCCGGGGTTTCAAACCCTCAGGACATCATTTACAATCATTACTCACCTCGAACTGGCTAATTTTCTAGCTCGCGACGCCTTTGCCCCTCGAATTGGCCCCCATGCGCGTCGAATCTATCCAAAATCAGAACGAATACGTCACAATATGCTAAGGGAACAAAGCCCAAGCGAAAACATTCGAAAAATATCAAAAATTCCGAAATTAGCAAAACCCGAGCCCCGGGCCCATGTCTCGGAATCGGGTAAAATTTACATTTTCAGAATTCTCATACCCTCACGAGTCTAACCATACCAAAATTATCCAATTCCGATACTATTTGGTCCTTCAAATCATCATTTTACATTTTTGAAAGGTTTCACAATTTTCTTCCCAAATTCCATCCCAAATCACGAATTAAATGATGAATTCAGTGATAGATTCATGTATTCTAGCCAAATCTGAGTTAAAATCACTTGCCCCGATGAATTTCTTGAAAAATCTTCGAAAATTGCCAAAATCCGAGCTCTCTAGGTCAAACTATTAAATAAAACCCAAAACTTCGTATTTATAGGGTATCCCTCAGGTTTCAGCCTCCGTGGGCTGCACCAAATCGACCGTCGTCCGCGCAAACCAGTGCGGTCCACGCAAACACAACCGCGGCCGCACGGGCCTTCCTCTGGAGTGATAGGCTTTACTATTTTGGCCATAACTTTTGCTACAGATGTCCAAATTTCGATATCTTTACCGTTCTGGAAACTAGACACGAAGGGCTACAACTTTCGTTTTTGAATCATCTCAAACTTCCTTATGGATCAAAGGATATGAGCTTCCGAAGTTGGACCGATGATCTACAGATCTTCATGACCGCGGTCGTGGTAACTTTTACGCGCCCAGCACTAAGCCAGCACGCCCAGTGCTAATTCTACCACGGCCAGCGCTAAAAATTCTGCCCCCATCCATTTTCTAAGTTCCGAAATGTCCTTACTCGCTCAAAACTCACCCGAAACACACCCGGAGTNCCCATTTCCCAACATCCACATCCTTGTTGATAATTGCGCCAAACATGAGATCCAGTCTTTCGTAAATTGTTACGCCGGGTATCATCAGGTGTTGATGGATAAAGAGGACGCCGAGAAAACTGCCTTCACTACACCTTGGGGCACTTACTGTTATCGGGTTATGCCATTCGGTCTGAAGAATGCTGGGGCAACTTACATGAGAGCCATGACTGCCATTTTTCATGATATGATGTATCAAGAGATAGAGGTGTATGTGGACGACGTGATAGTTAAGTTCAGGACTCGAGACAATCATATCCAAGACTTGAGGAAATTCTTCGAGAGACTGAGAAAGTACGACTTGAAGTTGAACCCGGCCAAATGCGCCTTCGGGGTCCCATCTGGCAAGCTTTTGGGTTTCATAGTAAGTAGGAGAGGTATCGAGTTAGATCCAACAAAGATAAAATCTATTAGAGATCTACCTCCCCCAAGAACAAAGAAAGACGTGATGAGTCTATTGGGCAGGTTAAACTATATCAGTCGATTCATTGCCCAGCTGACTAGCACATGTGAGCCCATATTCAAGCTATTGAGGAGGATGCGGCGATCAAATGGACGGTTGAATGTCAAGAAGCTTTTGACAAGATCAAAGAATACCTTTCAAATCCCCCAATTTTGGTCCCGCCAGAGCCAGAGAGACCCCTGTTCTTGTATCTGACAGTCTTGGAAAATTCTTTCGGTTGCGTCCTCGGGCAACACGACATAACCGGAAGGAAGGAGCAGGCAATCTACTACTTGAGCAAGAAATTCACTGGCTACGAGGCCAAGTATACTTTGCTGGAAAGAACGTGTTATGCTTTGACATGGGTTGCTCAAAAATTGAGACATTATCTCCAAGCTCACACTACTTACCTCAT